CTGGGACCACCGTTTCCAGTCTCCAGACCTAAACCCAATAGAGAATATTTGGAGGGAGTTCAAACTCCAGCCCAGAAACCTGACGGATCTAGAGAAGATCTGCGTGGAAGAGTGGGCCAAACTCCCTCCTGTAGTTTGTGCAAACCTGGTGAAAAACTACAGGAAACATTTGACCTCTCAAATTGCAAACAAAGGCTACTGTTCCAAAGATTAACATTGATTTTCTCTGGTGTTCAAATACTTATTTACAGCTGTATCATACAAATAAATAGTTAAATATACATTGTGATTTCTGGATATTTTTTTAGATTATGTCAATGACAATTTCAGAACTTGCAAAATGAAAGGGTGTTCAAATACTTATTTTCCTCATTGTGTGTGTGTGTATATATATATATATACACACACACACACACACATTTAAATGTGTATATATACATGTAGGCAGATGGCCGCCCACCCTGAGCCATGGTTCTGCTCGAGGTTTCTGCCTGTTAAAAGGAAGTTTTTCCTTGCCTGTGTCGCCTAGTGCTTGCTCATGGTGGGAATTGTTGGGTTTCTGTAATTAACTTCAGAGTAGGGTCTGACCTGCTCTGTTTGGAAAGCGCTGTGAGACAACTGCTGTTGTGATGTGGCGCTATAAATAAGATTGAAAAAATAAATAAATACATGTACGTGCTCATGTAAATAAAGCAGGTTGAGGTCACTCTCAGTCTTCTAAAATGCAAACATTTTCATTTTCAGAGAAGAATAATAGTTACCTTTCAGCTGGACAGACTTCTGAGAAGTGTAGAGAAAGATTGCTGCAGTGGTGAAATTTAAAAAACATTATCTTGAGTCCAACTTGGTTCCATGTGCAAGAGCATGGGAAATAAACTCGTGTGTCTTATTATAGACTTTTTCCCAAATAAAACCTACTCAACAGCCATTCATTTGGCGCTTTGAAGAGCGAATGGCACAGCATTTATTTATTTATTTTCAGTACAGACTCGAAATAAATGACTGACTGCGGATTAAACAGGACTTTTGTTTAATACATTGTGCCACATATACCATTGTAATGTAGAAAATATTCAACAAAAAAAATACAGTAAAAATTAATTGACAGTTTTAATGGTATTTTTTTTTCTTCGGGCATGATTTCCATGCTGGTAACTTGGTAACTTTTCAACCGTTGCCCCCCCAAAAAAAATGAGTTTTCCACTCTTGCTTTATCTTGTTGTTGACCGTCCCTTTGAGCTGAAATGATTTTTGTAGCCACCTTGACCTGTAGCAGTGCTGAGATCCCAGCGGGTTTTATACTTTGGCAGATATACAAAACATATGTTAGAACAAACTAAAACCAGGAGTACAGATTATTCTGCTTAATGAAGTGCTGATAGCTCTTGTGTGCGGCGATCATCATCAAAAGTGGACAACTTGGTTGTCCGTTATTTCATCATTTACAAAGAGTTTAAATCTCACTTCTTGTCGAGTAGATTTCATAGCATTAACAGCAACTGATGAGACTGTGCGATATACATTTTCTTCAGAGATCTGTGCAATCGGACTTTACATCAGTTAGTCAATTCTGGTCAAAAGAAATACACCCAAACAAAGTCTGAGCCACGGCCGGCACCGACTGAGGAATTCAAGAAACAAGTGAATATCTTTTTTTCTCAACAGTGTCCTTAATCCGGAGGTTATGCCCTCCCTACCATAACTGACTATCATAGCAAAATATTATAAGTTGTAATTTGTATTTGTGTTGCAACCATTTTCCAAGCATATTTCGAAAATCCTTTTTTCTTATAAAAAAAAAAAAAAAAAAAAAAA